GAAAAAGATGCAGAAAGCACATACTGAACTGAGAAATTAACAAAATATGAGATGAAAAAGTCATACTTTCCTGCAATTAATGACATCACAGGAAATTTTAAAAAACAGTTTCCTTAACTCACTGATTTCTAGCCATTCTGGTTTTGGAATTTCATGTCTTCCTTAAAATGCTCTTTAGTACAAATTTTTGAAATTTAAGAATGAATTTTTTTTTTTTAACTCTGAGATAATTGCAAAGTAAGCTCAGGAAACACCATTTTAATTGGCGTGGCCTTTAAAAATTGTTCAAATTCATTTAGTGAAAGAAATAGAGTCTGATGGCAAGAAATATTTCTTTTTTAAAAAAAATATTTTTATTAATTTCAGAGAGAGGAAGGGAGAGGAAGAGAGAGATAGAAGCATCAATGATGAGAGAGAACCGTTGATCGGCCACCTCCTGCACACCTCCTACTGGGGATCAAGCCCGCAAGCCAAGCATGTGCCCTACCAGGAATCGAACCCTGACCTCCTGGTTCATAGCTCAACCACTGAACCATACCAGCTGGGCAAGAAATCTTTGTGTGTGTATACATAAATGCAATGTTGCCAAAAACGGTATAGCACAATAGTATTCAACATAAAACTGTATATCACAGAGTAAATGTAATATATGCAAGTTTGAAACAGTTAGATGGTGAAAAATGTGACCTGTGTTCAATTTAACCTTGACTTGGTGTTCCTTAAATTTAACAGGTCATTTAGACTATAGGGCTTCTCATAACCATTAAAAAGTATTTTAAAGACTGTATTTCTGTAAGAGATTTTCAGTTAGAACATTTACATTCATCCTATTTCCTACTCATTGCCTATCCAAAACACTTTAAAAGTTGAGATCTAAATATTCTTGAAGCATAAAGCAATAATTAAAATATTTTCTATAAGCCAAGGAAATATAAGTGCAACAGAGTTCCTCTAAGTAAATATAAAATTTACACAGACGCCTTTAATACATATATAAATATATTAAATCAAGCATTGTTAATACTATAAAAAGTTGTAATGAAAAAAATAAAGAATTCTAAGAATCAGGCCAACAAAGCTCAATTGCCAGCTATAGATTAATTCTAAATGATTAAGAACATTATCACACATCACCAACAAGTTCTGTCACTCTATTAGAACTTTCAAGAGCATAACATATAAAGTAATTATAGTGATTCAAATAAATTCTTAAATTTACACGGACAAACTTACATTACTAAAAATTTATTCTGCAAAAAACAAAAAAAAATTAATCTATAGGCAAACAGAATTCTTCTGAGTATTAAGCATGTATAGCAATCATTTAAAATTTAGTAAATGTGACTATATAATTCTGGTCTTTACCCATAAATCTATTTCTGAAGTAAGTAATCATTCAAGATAACTGAAAAATAAAAAATGTCTTACTAGGATTAGAAAACTTGGTTGCATATAACAACATAAATTCACACAGCTAGAAATTGATGCTTTGAAATCTTCCAATAGTATTTTTAGAAAACTTCACTTCAATGAGATAGTAGACTTTGTGCTGAGTTGAAACTGATGTACAGGTGCATCCTGACCCACATTTCTTAGTAAATAAGTTTCAAAATTGACAGTTATAGCATAGCCAGAGACATTTTCCTATGTGTATTTTTCCTTTCAGTAAACAGTTATAAAGAGCTTTCTACACGGAAAGAATTTTAAAAAATTTTAGTAGAAAGCTTATTATATACCAAGCCAAAATGTCAAATGACCTTTCTTAATTCTATTTCATTTCAGGAACTTCCACAAAGGATAAAAATAATCTGAAGCCAAAATGCATTTAAAAACTCTAGTCAATAAAAAGCAAATTTACAATGTATATACATTTTTCAAGCAGAGTACATTTCTCCTCTCATTACTAATATTAATATTCATAGGGTAACTTCTGGGTTTTTGCAAGAAAATCCCTATATCTATGAAATTCAACTCACTTTTTTAACTAGACACAATCTCCCTTCTCTGGACTGGCCTGTTATGAAAGCTTGGGATGGGGGGTGGGAGAGAACCTAAGAATTAGTAACAATGACAGTGAAGCAAAGGAAAAGGATAGCATAGCAGCAATAAGGAAGAAAATGAAAGTAAAATAGAAGCAGGTTCTCCTTCTGATAAACACCAAGGCAGTTGTAAGAATAGATAACACTTCTGAGGATTAAAGCCTGTATGGGTGAAGTAATGACTCAGAATAATTAGAGAATATGCAATTATTTAAAATGAGTATGCATTATAAAAGATTGCTTTAAATAAATGGATTTCTTGGGGTTTAATTTCTTTCCCCTATTCTATCCAATTTCACTTACTACTGTAGTCACCCTTTGCTTCAGATATGGCAGCAAAATGCATAAAAGATTACTGAAACAGGTCAGAATATAACAAAGCATAACCTCTTGCTCTCAAGAGTCTTATTTCCTATTTTGTGGGTAATTTGGTTCCTATGTTTCTAGATATTTCTACCTCTTAACCATCTCATTGCTCACTAATGAATAAGAGAAAGTGGACAATGTGATTCTATTCACTTACTACAGTCAGTATATCTGTAGAGATTGAATCACAGCTGAGATTCATCTTGTAATTTAGCCTCTCAACACTGATGATTCTAGTCAAATTGTTGTCTAAAACATTATACTTTATACATTAAGTAGTAAGAGGAAACTTCGAAATCATTTACTTAAATTCTTGTTTCACAGTTAAGAAATCATTCGGAGAACTAATTAGTGCAAAGATGGTGTCAACTCTGGTTTTAGTAACTCCTAGATCAGTACTTGTTCAACTAAATAATGCTGCTCTCCATAACTGCTCCTTTTTCACTATGATGCTCTTCTTATCCAGTCTGCCTATGAAAGCTGATAAACTAAATAGCCAACAAGACCAGAAAATCTCAAGGCTCAAGTCAAACGAATAAACTACTGTTTCATTGTCTATCCAACATTTTTACTGAAATTCTGACTGCCAAAACTTTCCTGTTTCCTGTCCATCACTATAATGTTTCAGTTATGTAGTATCCTATGTGTTACATAAAACATGATGCAAATTATAATAAGCAAATATGGAACGCGCAGTATATCAGGAACTATGTTAAGCCCTTTACATGTAGCATTTCAATCCTAACTTTAATACCGTAATTCCCATTTTATAAGTGCAAAAACCAATTCCTCAGAAGTTAAATAATTTGCCCTAACTCACAAAGCTAATACGTAGAACTGGCTTAAGATATCAGGCAGTCTGATTCCAACATCCATATTCCCGATTTCCACATATCATAGCTACATGGATTGTATTATCGTTGTGCAGATAACTCAACTTTGAGGTCTACAGATGAATTTAAAGACTCTGTACTAGAAAAGGTTTCTCACAAATTAAAATAGCTTAATATGGCTTATTCCCATAAACGGTATCTTCTTTGCAAATACATGGCTCAAGTAAGAACCTTTAACTCATTCATATACTAGTTTAATTACAACTCAAATGTGAAAGATAATGGGGGAGGGGGGGTAGCACTGCAGCAATATTTCAACTAATGTCAGATCAGTATTGTCCAGAACTTTTTGCAGTGATAGAAATGTTTTCTGTCTGTGCTGTCCATCATGGTAGCCACTAGCCACAAGTGACTAGTATTGGAAATGTGTTTAGTGTAACTAACTGAATTTTGACTATTTTGTAAGTTTAATTAACTTAAAGAGCCACACATGGTTAGTGGATACTATATATTAGACAGCACAAGTAGAGAAGACAAAATGCCAGAAAAATATAATCTTACTGCTTTTATTTGGAGAGTGCATTAACAGTCAAATCAAGTTAAATGTCTTTTTACTTACTCTTGCTTTAATTATTAACCCAAACAATAGAAACCTCCAAAGATTTAAGACAAACTTTCTATGAACTCTTCTTTGTGTACTTCAATGGAAAAAAAATAATTAAAATTTTTTACCAAACAAGCTTCATATATTAGACACTTTTTAGTCTTTGGATAGCTAAGAAGAATCTGAATCTGAAAACTCTGCCACCTATTAGGAAACTAAAAATAATCACAAAAATTTTCAATTCTCTTCATAAATACTTGATAGTAAGTGCTTACCTTGATTCTCCACTACTGTTTCTAACACTTTCTTCATCACTATGTCCATTCATTGTAAATACCAACAAGTTTTAAAATGGAATATAAATCTTCCCAGTTTAAAAGATGAATATAAATACTCTTCCTTGAATATCAAAAATTGACAGATGAATTTTCTTCAACAGTCACAGGTTTCCTGGGACCCTTTTTGATTCACCTAAAAAACATATTAAGAAAGTAAGAAAATTTCACTAGAAGAAAAAAATTAAAAAGTCTATTTAGAACTTACACAAATCTAAACCACTTAGATTAGAGGTGGTAAGGAAGAGGTAGAGATCTTTTATTCAAAATACCTAGGCTTCTATCAACTACATTCCTGACTATTAACTAGAATGTAGCACACCACTGCTTACTTTTGACAGAAGAAATTAAAATATTTGTGGAGTGATAAAACTTTTAGACTGATTGCAATGTGTAGCAATATATATATAATAGATAACTAAAGTAAAGTGGTAGTATATAACATATACATACACCCAAAGAATAGAAAATGGAGTCTTATTAAATACTTGGTCAAACAAATTATGGAGGGAAAGGTTACCTTTAATTGAGCACTAACACCTATCTAGCGCTAACAAGCCTAGAACTTCATATACTCAAGTGAGGGAAAGTTTTGCAAATGCTCACATGAAAGCAGAATAAAAGAATATTAAAGGGTATCATATAATCTTAACAAACATGTATAGGTCAAAACAAGTATGTTCTTTCACAAGTAACCCGATAGTGGACTGAAAAAATTTAAATAATATTTATCCTGGTTGGACTTGCAGAGATTCCATTTTTTCAAAAAAGGTAATAAAATATGTCCTACTTATTTTGTAATAAGGGGTTTAGGGGAACAATCATGGATCAAGACACTGCATTTCCACTTTTCAAGGCACCAGCACAACACTGGAGATTCACCTACAAGCCATCCACGAATAAACAAAGGGGATCTCTGGCAGGGGAGGGAGAGGAAGAAGCGGGGGAAGGAGACGTCAGATCCTTCCCCAGCCAGAAAGTACCGAGACAGCCAACAGAGCAGAGCTGTCCTCCGACCTCCGCGAAGAGAATTCACTCCTGTGATTTCCACTCCACCAAAAAAAAGGGGGGGGGGGGACACAGGCAGTTGCCAATTCAATCATAGCAAACTCCGCATCTGTACAGATCGGGATTTTAATTCTCCAGAAACTACAGTCCGGCACACTCTGCCAGAACTTGGTTATCCAAAAAGTAACTATATACCCAGAAACACGTATTCCTGAGGTTGAACACTCATTCCAGCCAGCCAAGGAGCTTTACTGTTACAGCAGTCTTACTTAGAAATCTAGATACCCTAGCAAATTGCCTCTCCGCCGAGAAGTCTCTCTCGGTAGAGAAAGTTCGCTCCTCTTTCCGTTCTTTGCTTTCGCCCCTCAAAATGGCTTTCTTTGTACACTGCAACTTCCTTCCCCCCTCTCCTTCCTTCTCCAAGTCCTCTTTCTGAGACCCTTCTCCCAAGTCCCGAAGCCCCGGGCGCCCGCAGCCCTGTCCGAGCCTGTCCAGCATCATAACAATGACTCTCCCCTAAGTCATTAAGCCTCCGCCACCCTCTTCACGCCCCTTCGTTTCACAGTTGTTTTGCTTCTGCGAAGTTTTCGAAGCCGTCCTCGACAGGAGGTTAGAAACCCGCCTCCTCCCTCTCTCCCCCGCAGCTTCCAGGCTACTACCAGCCTCCCACCGGAACGCACGCACCCACCCCGCCCCCGCCCCCGGGCCTCCCGAGGCCTCCATCACCGTCCCGGAGTCTCTCTTCCCGCCTCAAACTTCCCACAGACCCGCCCCGCGCCCTCCCAGGCTCGCCCCGGCCGCCGCCCCCTCCCCCTCGCCGCCGCTCCCCACGTGCAGGGCGCCCGGGCCGCGGTGGGATCGCCGCACCAGCCACAGGCTCGCTGCCGGGGCCTCGCAGCTCTCCCCTCGCGGCCCCGTCCGCCCCAGGCCAACCCCACGCCGAGAAGGCCCGCGGTCGGCCGCCCGGCTGCCAGTCCGCCAGGCGCGAGGATGCGCTCCGCGGCGCCGGCCTGCGCTCGCCACTCACACGCCCCCTAAGCGCCCAGCCCGTCCGCCGCCGCCGCCGGCCTTCCAAGAGCTGCTCGGCCTTCGCCCGGCGTCCGGCCGCTGGGCCGCCGCCCGGGCACCGCGCTGCCTCCGCCCTCCGCCCGGCGGGTTCCCGTCCGCCCCGCCACATCCTGACCCGCCCGCCCGCCGCTCCCTTTCTTACCGGCTGGCGTGCAGGATTCGCGGGGCGGAGGGAGACGACTCGGCTCGGCGGTCTCCCCCGCGCCCGGGCCCGCGGTCTCTTCAGCCGAGTGAGTCCTCAGGCTCCAGGCGTCTCGGGGTAAGCGGGAGTCAGGGAAAGGGAGGGGAGAGGGGAAGGACGCGGCGGGCAAGGGGAAGCCCCGATCCGCGGCACCAACGCGCGATCCCCTACGGAGCGGATCCAACAATCAATTCATTATTGAAGCACCAACGGCGAGGGCAGCAAGAGCGACAAGTAACCAGCCGTCGTCGTCGTCGCCGCGGCCACGCGCGCGCTCCCGTTCCCGCCGCTTATCGGCTCTGGCTCTCAGAAGCCGCCATGACGCCGAGAGAGCGAGAGCGCAACCGTCCCGGTCGTAGCCGTCTCCGCCGCCACTGCCACCGAGGTCGCCGTCGCCTCCGCCTCCCGCGCGACGTAAGCTCCGCGGCTCACTCCCCTTCCTCACTCAGCGCGAGGCAAGCTGGCGGGCGAGCGGGCGCGAGCACGTCGAACCCTCCGAGCGGCGCGCGGGCGGTGGGAGGGGCTACGTTGTGGAGTCGTAGGGCGTAGGAAGCAAGCGATTGGCCCGGAGTCCGGGCGGCTTGCGAGTGCGCGCACGCGCGCGGGTGGGAGCGCGCACGCCGACTACGCGGAGGCCGCCGGACTCTGACCACGGCCGTGGGCCGCGGATCTTGGACTAGGCGCCCTCCCCTTAGCGGCCTTGAGTTGAGTTCCGGGAAGTGGGAGCCGCAGGCTCGCTCCGTGCGGGTATGGACGCTATTCGGGACCGTTGCGCCAGGATGTCGAGGCTGAGAGACTGAGAAGGAAAGAGGAAGCGGAGGGGTGGGGAGGTACAGAAGACTATGATGGGGTTCGGGTAGCCGCGAAAGGTTCGCGCTGGGTCAGTCAAGGGTCTGGGTCGAGCGTGGGGTCCGGTCGCCCGGGCCTCGGCCGGGGCTGAGCGCCTGTCGGGAGGCATGGGGCCGGGGCCGCTGCGTCACACCAGGCAGCCTGGGAACCCAACTGTTGGGCCACTGTGGCCCCCTCCCGCCGCCCCTGCGCTAGGCGACCTGCCACTGGGGCTCCCCCGGGGGCCTAGGGCTCCGCGTGGGCGGGGCCGCACCTGGGATGACGGAGGAACATAGAGACCGAGTTGTTGACATCCGGTGCCGCTTCTTGATTTCATTTTGGGGGCAGTCGAGCCCGGCTCAGGAAAAAACAAAAAAAAGGACAACTTTTACAGCCTTTCTAGGTTCCTTCCCTGGAAAGCGGGGTGGAGGGTGCGGTTCAGAATCGCAACAAAAAAAGCAATTTGTAGGACGTTAGTAACTGTCTCAGCTGAAGGTGCTGTAATTTAGTTGACCGTTTCTTTCATAACTGTAACCGCGGGCCTCGGATACAATCCTTTAAGTGAGTCGTAGGGAACTTTGCAAGCACGGCGGTGCCCTGATTCACTCTTAGAAAAAAAAATTTTTTAAATAAAAAATAGTTTACACTTCATTAGTTTTCTGCTCCACATCGATCGTGAATCACTCAAAGTTAATAATTTTTGAAACTTTCTAATCCCATTCTTCAGTTATTTGATTTGATGTAAAGTCCATGAGTTTGAATGTAATGACCGCATTTCCAAAGTAATTCGTTGTGTGGGACATAGTCAACTTTTATAAACAGCTTGGTTCAAAGCCTTTAAAAAGATCTCAAAACCTATGTGTTCTGTGTATGGAAGGGTACCTTCATCTTCACCCTTGGGGCGTAGGGAAAGGCAAAAAGGTACACATGGTCTACCCGAAAAAAAATGTATGTCTGATCAATAAATAGTGAAACAAAATGAAACACTACTGTACTTTGTAAAATTATTTGCGTTCAGCCTCTTGTTTTATTCCTTCCCCCCTAGTTATCAAATAGCTATAATGCTGGGTTGTGAGGAATAACTCCATCTCTCAAGTAGCTGAGTGTTAATTTTTAATATGTTTTTAAAATGTGATAAAGGTGACTTAATGATAGGAACTTTCTGTGCTTCTGACTGATTTCTTTCTTGGATTACTAGAGTGGTAAGTAAAAAAAAAAACTAAAGTCCCCCAAAAGCAGTAACCATAGCTGATAACGAATTTTGTAATCAGAAGTATTAATCAGATAAAGTCTCTAAACATAACTATTAATATACTATTATCATTACTGTATAGGCATAATCTGTATGTTTTCTGAAAGCACATCAAATCTTTTTAAACTGATTTGCCATTTGGATATGATATGCTCCATATATACATATGTGATGCTTGGAGATTTATATAACTGGTAAAGTCCTAATATACTTATGACTCCACAGAAGTTTATTTTATTTTTCTTTTTATTTATTTTTTTTAATTTATTGGGGTGACACTGGTACAGAATTTTCCAATGACTCTTGACAATGTGGATAAATACAAGGTAAGTGAAAAACTATAACAATTTTTTTGTTAACCGTTATCTGCACAGTTAAATTCTCAGTTTCACTTTGTTTGAATAAATTGTCTCAGCCTACTGGTACTGAAAACAATGAAAAAACTATTGATAATCTCAATGCATCACTTTTTAAAAATCTCTGAAAATTAACATCAATCAGGAGGTCTTTATTACTATCTGATTTTCCATTTGATAAATTTTATATTCTTTAAAAAGATTACTTTTACAGAATCGAGGACAGCATTTTGTGGGTCTTTAATTCTGGGATGCTTTACTAGGACTAGTTACCAGTGAGTAGGTACCTTTAGGTGGAGGTTGATTGAGAACCGCTTATCCATAACTGTGAGACAATGATAACTCTGCTTTTCTGTTAATGTTAGGATGCCAAGATAGGATTTTAATTCCATAATTATGTTCTTGTGGCCTAGAGATTTTTGCATATGAGAAACTCCTAAAACAGTCAGTATTAAAATACACTAGATTAGAATCTCAACCTATGACATCATCCCCCAGGTCCTTGACAAACAGGAAGAGCCTTCCAAATGATACTTTAGGTGATACTTCCAAATGATACTTTAATTTACCAAGGCCTCTATAAATAGAACCCATAAAATTCCAAATCACCTTATAGTGAAAATTTATTGTACTTTTTAAAAAAATTATAAAGTTTATAGCAGCTCTGGTTCTCAGTGTTGGGCAGGGGGCAGGAGTCAGTCATCTAGGAAATGTTTTCCTAACTACACATGCCTGTCACTCCCATTCCTCCCCTCTTCTGATATGCAGAATTTCTAGGTTCTGGGTAGTGTTTGGAAAATTTTCCAGCAACAGCTCATCTACCTTGTTTATGGCCAGTGTACTTGTGAATTTTTATTAATGAATCACCATTAAGATAAATTTCAAATGGAAAGTTATTACAGATGATACTGAGAGGCAACTATTTTTAAAATCTAATAGGCATTTAAATGGATACAAAGATTCTACTTTCTCTACTTACAAAATTAACTGTGCACACAGACTAAGAAAAAAGTTAAGTAGCTAACCTCAAAATAACAAATTGGTGCATCCATGCTGTATGATTCCTTCTTCAAATCCTTTGTTTACTGTCCGTTTTACTTCATCTATGTTGTCTTCAGCTTTTATTCTTAATCCCCACTACTTTATTTAGGCCTTATTTTCTCTCCATCTTTCCCTCCAGCTCACCCAGTAGACTTCCTTCAGACTTGAAATCTTCTGAAATCACTTCCCTGTTTTGAATTCATGTATTTAATTAAATATAACAGATAGCCCTGACTGGTGTGGATCACTTGGTTGGGCATCATACTCTGCACCAAAAGGTTTCTGGTTCCATTCCCAGTCAGAGCACATGCCCAGGTTTCAGGCTCAATCCCCCATAGGGGGCATGCAGAAGGCAGCTGATTGGTGTTTCTGTCCCTTTCTCTCTCTTTAAAAATAAATAATAAGGGTTCTTAATGGGATAGGGGGCAGATTTTCCCCACAGGGAACACTTGAGAAAATCTGAATCAGTTTTGGTTGTCACAATGAAGGGGGGGAGGGGGGAGGGTGGGTGCTGCTTACATACGGAGGTGGAGGTCAGGGATACTGCTAAAGATCCTATAATGCACTAGACAGTCCCCCACAACAAAGGATTATCTATCCCAAAATGACAATTGTGCCATTGCTGAGAAATCCTACTATCAAGGTAGGCAAGCTAGGTAGTATTTTTTAGTGAAATCTTAATGGGGGGGGGGGGGGTTTCTGTTTGGCAAGAGTGCTAATGAGTGAGGATCTACTCTACCTGTAAACTACTTAACCTAAACTCAGCCTTGCTTAAAACCAGCAACAAAGGAGCCAATACATTTGCAGAACTAAGAAATGTGACTATCACAATAGACTATATTTTCCTTGTTTGTTAATTATAGTGCAGCTGAAACTTATTGCTGGTAGGGGTGTAGATTGGTTATAGGAGCTTTGGAAAATTAATAGGCAATTCCATCCATTGTAGCTGAATTTATGCCTACCTGATAATTCAGCAGTTTCTCTACTGAGTGTTTATCTAAGAGAAATGAATACAAGTGCCTACTAAGTCTTTTATATGAATGTTCATAGCAGTTTGATGCATTATGGCTTTAAACTGGAAAAAGTGAAGTATATTCATACAATGGAATACTACCCAACAATGAAAAAGAATAAACTGCTACACACAATGACATGGGTGGCTCTCATAGGCATTGTGTTGAGTGAAATAGACACAAATTCATATTGTATAATCCCATTTATATGAAATTCAAGAATAAAACTAATACATGATGATAGAAGTCAGCATAAATAACCTTTCTGAGCATGAATATTAACTTAGAAGGGTGTAAGAGAGCCTTATGAAATGTTGGAAATGTTCTATATCATGATCTGGGTGGCTCCTATATTAGTGTATGCATAAGAAAAAATCAAGCTGAACATTTAAATTTTGTGAACTTTACTGTAAATATGCCTTGCCCCCCCCTTTTTTAATTAAAAATTAGGGGTAAAGGCTAGAAAACCTAATTTTGAACTACTTGGAGTCATATCTCAAGTGCTACTAGGTATGTTTTCAATAAATATGAACAACTCTAATGCATTGTTTAAAGTAGAATGAACAACTAGATACTATCTGTCCTGAGAATTTAAATTGGTATTGAGCAAGTTTATCAGATAGTGATCTGTTCTGAGGTACACATTTAGCCAGGGCTATTTTGTCTAGGAGAAGCATGTGGAGAACCGAAGTTATGTTGCAGAACAAAAATCATTTCATATTATTTTGTCACTTGGTATTATAACTCTCTGAGGTTGGTACTGTTATCCCTAATTTACAGGTGAGGAAACTGAGAAGCTTGACAAACGTAAGTAAGTGTAAAGTTAAAACCCAAGCAGTTTTAACTCCAGAGTCTGTGCTGGTGTGTCAAACAGAAATAATAGCTGCCTGGGTTACTGATAGATTTCCAGGTCCTGATCTCTGGCCCTTAATATGGTTGAGTCTGCTCTCTATTTTTGAGTTGTTTATCATAATTTATTTTTATAATAAAACTAGAGGCCCAATGCACAAAGTTTGTGTAAGAGTAGGCCTTCCTTTTCCCGGCTACCAGCACCAGGATCCAGGCTTCCCTCCGGCCGCTGGCACCCGGGACCCAGGCTTCCCTCGCACACACACTGCAGCCCGCCGGTTGGTGGCTTGGGCCTCCCTCTGTGGGGCAATCATGGGGTGATGGCCAGGCCCCCAACCAATTGCATCGCACCTGCCTTGGCTGGCCTGTCACCTGTGGGTGTCATAGCGTGGTCCTGGATAGTTCCGCTATTCTGCCATTCGGTTGATATGTATATTATGCTTTTATTACAGTAGGTCTCGGGTTTCGTCAGAGGTCCATTCCTACGGTGTGACGTAACACGATTTTCTCCATAAGTCAGAACCCACCTACATAAGCATCTACGTCACTCACATGGAGCATATTCACAGCAGTAATGAAGTGAAACATTAAAAATTTAAAAGAAAAAGACATGTACTACTATCTAATACTTTAAACAATAAAATTTAAAATTAAAGAAAAAAAGTTTAAAAGAAGATAACAATTCCTGACCTTTATTTGTGGTAAGTAAATAATAAAAAACATAAAGCACATACATACATATGTCAAAATGATGGAACTTTTTTTTTTAATAAATAGGAGATGGCAACGTAACCACGAAACAACATACATCAAGTCCGACGTAACCTGAGGACTGCCTGTATATAGGATTACATGTCTTTGTGTAAGCTGGATTTCAGCCTATTATAACAGGAAGAATCCTGCTCCAATTTAAGTGGGATTGCAAATAACAAACCTCAGAGGTGGGGTAGCAGGTAATAAAGAACTACCCTAAGATGAGAACTTGTTACATTGTGTTTTGCAATAGCGATGTTTTTACTCAGGATTTCTCCAGTAGTGTCTTAGAAATCAGACTTTAGTCACTGAGGTAGGATATTAGAGAACTTGTTAGCTAAATATTAAAAATGTCCAGTGCATTGGTTTACTATATGTCAGTGATGGCGAACCTATGACACGTGTGTCAGAGGTGACACGCGAACTCATTTTTTTGGTTGATTTTTCTTTGTAAATGGCATTTAAATATATAAAATAAATATAAAAAATATAAGTCTTTGTTTTACTATGGTTGCAAATATCAAAAAATTTCTATATGTGACATGGCACCAGAGTTAAGTTAGGGTTTTTCAAAATGCTGACATGCCAAGCTCAAAAGGTTCGCCATATAGATTATGTGGAGTTTTGAAAAGTACATTAGGAAAGAGGACTTTGTAATAAGGTTCCCAGATGAAAGTGGATTGGAACAAATTTGGCAATTTGTGCCAAATTTATCATATT